CGTCTTGCCCCTGTAATAATCTGGTCGTCTGCATGACGCACATGTGGGAAGTGAGAAGAGCTACAGAACTCACCAAGTGGTCAAAGGCGGAACTGCGTGGGACAGGCATAGAATTCGGAAAGGCAAAAAAGAAGGGGATGATCCTCAGGAAGATGAGAAGGGTCTGGGAATTGGAGAGCACTGAGGAGCATGTGGGCGAGGGTTGACACTGGAAAGGGAGAGGCCAGGTCAGTGGAAGGAAGGTGAAGAGGGGAACAAGAAATGAGAGCAGGCTGGGGCTGAGGCCAGGCAGGAAACATGAGAAGCTCCCATTTGACAAGGGAAGAGAGAAGGCAGAAAGGATGCAGGGTGAAAGAATTGTTCCTAGGACACAAGTTACACCAGAATTCTGCTTCTGACTCTCCTGACCATTTTGCTCTGCCTCAGAATTTTCACTTCCAATGGGGCTCAGTGATGAGCCTTATCTAAAGCTTATCTAAAGGGAATACTATGCAGAAGGAATAAGAGATGGCTGGAAAATGTTCAGGTGGCTTCATACAGCTTTTTCGCCAGGTAAACCTAATCAATCCATTCAGTTTAGCTCTGACCACAATCAAACACGATGGTGGCTGCAAGCGAGCCACTCTCCAGCATCCTTACTCTCCGGGTCCCTTGCATTCAATCATCCACTTGTCACCAATGACCAAGCTGCTACCGTGTACTAGGACCTAGGATTATAAAGAGAAATAAGACATACTCTCTGCATGCAAATTGTTCACAGACAATATGGATGATAGACAGCCAAAAATAACAATGTGTTCAGAAGTGCTATGATAAAGGTATTAACAAAGCATTACTGAGAGGCAGGAGAGAAAGTCCTCCAACCATTTCCCATCTACCCTCATCCCTGAACTTAACTGGTTTATTTCATCAGGAAAGTCCCCTTCCAACCCAGACCACCTGCCTAGTCACATCCCTTGAAATTTTGACCATTCTTCAAATCTTGAGTCAAATGCCATGTTTCTTCAACAAAGTAGTTCCTAATCTGAGAAGTAGGAACTAACGGGAATTAATCTTTCTATTCTCTGTGCTTCCATCACACCTTTATATCTTCGTTTTAATATTTACCCCAATTATTTTGAACTATATATGGTAATTTGTATATATAAAACTAAACTGTAAGCTCCTTTATACTAAGGTTGATGCCTGATTCATCCTTGGGTCTCCCCCAGGCCTGAGCATGGACGTTTCTTAAAATGTACTCAGGGTCAGTTAATTTAGACTAATTATGCTACATTTCCTTTTAGGATGCTAAAGTGAGAGGACCCTGCTTCATCCTGGCAGTTGTGAGTACTTGTTTGCACATGCCAAAAATAATTTCTTGTTCTAAAGGGGCATAAAAGAAAGGGCTTTTAGACCTAAAATGACTCATTCTTCTATCTCTTTTCACGTTTGGACAAAGTATGGGCATTTATAAAAAAGCCTCCAAGTAAAGAATTTTTAATTTAGAAAAGACTCTGTATTTCATTTAATCCAACATCTTAATTACAAATGAGGAAACTAAGTCCTGAGCAATTCAGATGCTTCTTCAATATCACACAGCCAGAATCAACAATATCAACTTTCTTAAGTTCAAGGCTCTCTCCAACAGACTAAACAGCTTACCTTCAATATAAAGGGAAAAAGCATGGTTTTAAAAAAATCTAAAAAAAAAGGACAAGAAAAGAAATACACTAAACTATAGAAAAAGAATTCATTGGCAACCTATACACGTTATAGAAAACATTTTTTCTATCAGTCCATTTGTCCATAAAGAATATCATGCTTTCACTAACGTCAGTGAAAATGTTTGTAGAGTTTAAAGCTTTAATTTAAAAACCTGACTTTTGCAATTTCCAGATCCTTTACCCTTGGGGTCTCCAATCATTCTAAACGGTTGGCAATGAGATTTGTTCTGGGGTTCTTCTCCAGGATATTTCAATATGTTTGGGCGATACTGGTCATTAACACGTGTTCTTAACAGTTGTATAAGTAAAATAATACATCAAGGCTTTGTTGAGAGGTACACATTCACACCTGTTCTCTCCCATCATGACTTAGGCAAATGCAGCAGATGCACTCAAATCTGATGTAGTTTACTCCATCCCAGTCCACTATTCTTGCCAGAACCCCTGCTTTTTCTCTGACCTTTCCCAGGTCAGTGCCACCCCATCCTCACCCTGACAGATGTGACACAATCTGACAGACACCCTACATCATCGGTTGGCACACGGGAGCACATACATGTGCATAAACATCACACAAATGTCTAAGCGATAAATCTGAATTTAAAACTTCCTGCGTTCCAGTTATAAACAGGGATATGTGTATATACAGAGATATACACATATATCACATATATACATATATAATTGTAAACATGTAAATATATATATTACTCAGATATATAATATGTACACATATATATCTGTCTATCTATCTCTTCACAGTGATACATAATCACTCAGATAAAGACCACCTAATCTTAAAAATTATTTCATTTGCCACAGAGGACAGACTGTAAAAACTGCTTTTTGGTTAGAGACTACCACCCCCTCCCCTAGGACGGATGGACACACACACACACACAGCTGCTCTGCACTCCCCAAGGCCCCCTGAGGGGCACAGGGATAGTGCATGGGTTTTGGAGCCAGCTAGATAGGGGCTTAAATGTTAGTTCTGTTACTTACTATTTGTGTGATCTTAAAAAAATTACTCAACCTCTCTGGACAAGAATTTTCTAATTTCCAAAATGAGGAAGTTAGTAGCTGTCTTGGAGGTGTAGAGATTTGAGGTAGTGTTCGCCAGTGGCTAGTGAGGTTAGCACTTAGTAAATAAGAACTATTACGCTGAAGGTGATCACGAAGGGGAAGAGGTGGAGGGGAAATGGGAGAGGAAGATGATGGATTCCATGTCCTGAATGCCTTCTGTATTTCAGAATTTCTCCGCAAGGCTTGGCAGAACTTGAGTGCTAGCCATTAGCTAGGGAATATTAAGCTTGAGGGATGGGAAAGGAAACTGGGGGGGCGGGTCGGGTTGGTGAGGGGTCCATAAATGGCTAGCACTTACATGTGATCTTCCTGTGTTGAACTCATATATACATATGCTCATGCCCCTTCCACGGCTGGGAAAAGGACATTCACAGAAGTGAATTCAGCATGTTGAGGAGTCAAGGTCATTTTTTCTTTTTCTTTCTTCCTTCCTTTTTTTTTTTTTTTTTGTTTTCTGCATTGAAGGACCAGACCTCACAAAGCAGGGTGAACAAATTCCTATGTCCTCCATAGTGCCTCATCATAGCATTTCCAGTCATAGCAGCAGGCTCTGGCTGTTTGCCCCCTTCCCCTGGCAATTCTAGTAACTGTGAGATACCCTATAGATTGCAGAACAAATGCCCAGATCCTTTCTGGAGTCACGGTGTCAGAGCACCCAGCCAAGCCACTGGCAGAGCTGGGGCTGTGGTGTGATCTGTCCATCCAAAGTACAACAGGAAGGAGGAAGCCCCAACCTACCCCGGCCATGTCCTGAATGACAAAGTCATTTAGGGCCTTCCTAAGATGCCATGCTGTTTGCAAACACACACTACCTGCCATACCACCTGACCAAACAATTCCACCGGAAAGCCTGAAGACAAATGACTAATGTTAAAAGAAGCCTGTGCATCATTTCAGTGATGACTCCACAGGCGTCGATTAAACATGGAAAAGACCTGTTCTGAAGCATGACCATCTGGCATTTCCCAAGGAACTATAGTCAATGGCTGATAAAACACAAGTGATCGTAACTATCAAGAGATGTAGCAGCCCTCTCCTTGCTCAAAAGTAGCAAGAGCCCATGACGACAATGCACCTGGACGACCTCCAAAAGAAAAGGTGAGGAAGGAAAAGGCTGCATCTGAAGCCAGCGCTGCTCTTCCTCATGCATAGAAAGCAAAGATCTGGGTTGCATGAGGTCATGCAAAAAAAATCAGACTGCTCCCAGGGATGCTTGCATGTTTGTCTGGTAGGCTAGGGGCGAAGAGCAATTGTTCTATCTCCAGTTGAGAGAAAACATTAGCAGTCGTCCATCCCCTGCTCCTAGGGGTGCTTTTCAAGTACAGGCATCTGGGACTTTACCCAGCACGGCCGATCAAGTGATCTTGGATCACTGTAGTCCAAAGTCCCTCCCTAGAAACCATGCTTTAACCAGCTTTTGAGCGGAACGAAGAGGACACATTTAACAAATTTAATGCGAGTAATACCAAGGCATAAAACCCCCAGGAGAGAAACCATGGCTGGAGCAGAAGTGCTTTTCAACGCTTCGGTTCTAGATCAGTCAGGCAGACACCTGTGTATATATAGACAAATCTTCAAACACCACCTCATCACACCTAATGACTGCCTGTGACCTCTGATGAGCATTTGCATTCTCCATTTCTGGCTTTTCCAACAGCGAAAATATGTGTCTTTATACTCAGTCCTGGTTCTGAACCTGTTCTCTAATGATAATCTTTGTTTGTTTGTTTGTTTGATTTTCCTACATGCAAGGTCAGATGAATGAGAAAATACTTTCAGTTTTAATTTTGACCCAGATCTAAAATTGTTAATGACTTTTTATTCATTACTCTTGATCTCTCCTTTTTCCTTTCAGCGATTCAGGTACATGCACCCCTCACATGGCCTGGTTCCAACATTAAGACTGTAACATTCTTAGAATGAGGCTACCAAGTAAAAACAAAACAAAACAAAACAAAACAAAAAGATGCAAACAAACAAAAAATGGTGCTTCCATGCTCCCGAGTCCCCTTTGCCAATGAGGCACTGTACTTGAATCTGTTTACAGCAGCTGCTTCAGTGTTAAGTTTTTGGTTGGAAATAAAAAGGTTTAGTAAGGTCACTGACAATTATTTTCTCAGCACAACAGAAAAGCAACCCAATCCATTAATAATAAGAACACTAAAATGGCAGAAGCAAACACAGTGGGAACAAGGAGGAATGGAAGAGTACCTGGGATTGCCAGATTGGAAAGGGGGACGTTGTGGAGGTGAGGGGGGAGCGAGGCCATCCAGTCGGCATTGCAGACCTCCGATGATGTCTTTGTCCCGCTGGGGTTGGGGGAGCAGATGGTCCCCATCCTGAGTTTCCTCCTCACCTTCCTAAGTGCTAGCATTCCTCTTGGGCAGTTTGCCCAGGCTCAGCCCGGTGCCACTCACTCACTGATCATCACGGCCCGGACTCGAGACATTCCAGGGCCATCTCTGTCAAGCCAGTCTTGCCAAAAGACCTTTCTGCCTGGGAGACCGGGCGAAGAGGTGGTTCCCTACCCACCCGCCCCCCCACCCCCCAGCACCCGCAGTCCCCACCCTCTCCGGCGCAGCCGCTCTTCCACTCCCTTAATCTGCTCAGACCCGGCTCCGTTAAACTTCTTAGGTTCTCCTCTGGAGCCGGGGTTAGGTAGGCCCCTGGAGATAAATCTTACAGAAACTGAACGTCCGACGAGCCGCCACGCCCGGAGCCACTTACACGGCAGGTGCCCACACGGCGTACGGACAAGCCGGTGGGTCTATACACACGTGAGCGCCCGGACGCAACATCACCGGCCAGATTTATGCCTCAAAGTGTGTCACTGGGCTGGCACAGAGGCTGGGCCTGCCTACTACTCCTCCCCCGGCTTCTCGGCGCACACTCCCCCTGCCCTGTGGCTTTCCGAAGGCTCTCAGAAGTGTAACCGGCGGCACTCGGACTCCCGACAGCCCCGCCCCGCACTGCCGGGCAGATTTGCCGGGCTACGCGGCGCGTGATTGGCCGCTGGCGGAGCGCGCTCCGATTGGCCGGCGCCCTCCTGGGCTGCCCCTCCGAGCGCTCCCACCCCTCGGTGGCCCAGTCCCCTCCCTCCGTTACTTCCCGCCTGGGTGAAGGGGGCCAGGCACCGCTGCGGGGACCGCAGTGGGGGGGGAACTTGCCGGCGGGGGCCAGTCCTGGGACCTCAGACGGGCCCTTCCTCCGGCCTTCCACGCAGCCAGCACTCAGATGTTGAACACGGCCACAGATGTTTCTTTCCTTGCGTCTTTCCCCTACACACACACACACACACACACACACACACACACACACACACACACACACACACAATGACAATCACATAGAATGTATTACATTTTCAATAGGCCACAGAGGCAGCAGAAATAGGGGGGGTAAGGAGGCCGAGGAACGTGCAATATCTCATATTTGGATGACAACCTCAAGGATGGTTTGTTTCAACTGTTACATAATGGAGATTTACTTACACACCACTTAGCCCCATTTTACAGAGGGAATAATAACATGTTTGTATTACTCGGGTATTTGGAACCTTCTTCCAAATTCTTTGTCCCCTTTGCTCTTCACAGGACCCCCATAGGGCAGGGTGAGTTTTTGTTTTTGCGGGTAGGATGCCCTTTTCACAGATGAAATGGAAGTCCTGGGGCATTCAGAAAGCAGTTGGCACTATTGGGAAATATCATTTTAAAAGAAACCCTCAAGTCCCGGGGCTTGTAGGCACACAAACTCATTCCCCTGCTTTCTGCAATATTCCCTACTCCTTCAAAAGGTACTTTTTCGTGGTGGTATACTATAGGGTCTCTAATGATATGAGAATTTTACACATCAATAATCACAGAAACATCTTGGCCCAGAGGCACAATAAGAAAAACACCCTGGGCTTTGATAGTGGGGCCCTGGAGGGCTTCAGGTCAGGCAGCTCCTGGGTGACTCAAGAGGGGCTTATTTGAAAAGCAAGCCCCAGGCTTTGCCAAGAGAAAACTGAATGCTGACATCTAATCACTGAATGGCCCACTTCAACTCCAAGGTAACTCGACAGCCCAAGGCCTGTGCCTCAGCCACCTTTCAGTACACACAACTCCTCCTGCATCTTGCCCCCTTTTGACTCTTACTAAAATTTCTTCTTCCAGGCTATTCTTAACATTCATTTGAGCCCTTTGAGCTGCATAGTATTAGGGGAAGGTTTTTTTGTTTGTTTGTTTGTTTTGTTTTGTTTTCTAGAGGAGTATCCCTTGGTTAATAAAAAGGAAGTGTACACTATTTATCATGTATTTTCTGGTGTTTAAAGGACACTTCAAAATAGTGCTCTTTTTTTCAAGTACACCACAGGATATTGAGAATATGTTGTGTGTCTGAGTTCACATTTTTTATTCTTCATAGAAAAATCTCTCTGTAAAGGAATATCCCAACATTTACTTTTGAAAAGTCACCTTTCTGGGCTTTCCTTGAGCTTAAAACCTTTTTTTGAATATTCCTAAATGCAAAACTTTATGTAAGTTAGCGAAGGAAAGCAAAATGTGTTCTTTAAGCTCTATTGTGGAATGCCAATTTCAACGCCTTTTTCCCCCTTGATTTCTTTAGCTCTTAATGGAAGGAGTGAGCATATTAAGAAAGCATTAAAGGGGGGCCTGGTCAGTTAAGCGTCCAACTCTTGGGGTCATGATCTCAAGGTTCTGAGATCGAGCCCCGCCTCAACCCGGAGTCTGCTTAAGACCCTCTCTCCCTCTGCCCCTCTCCTTCCAATAAATAAATCTTTTTAAAAAAGAAAGCATTACACTTTAGATTTAGAGACATTACTGTGTGAGAACTCAGAAACAAGAGAAATGGAATCACTTAAGACTAGAGGTTTTGGGGCGCCTGGGTGGCTCAGTTGGTTAAGCGACTGCCTTCGGCTCAGGTCATGATCCTGGAGTCCCGGGATCGAGTCCCACATCGGGCTTCCTGCTCAGCAGGGAGTCTGCTTCTCCCTCTGACCCTCTTCCCTCTCGTGCTTTCTATCTCTCGTTCTCTCTCTCTCTCAAATAAATAAATAAAATCTTAAAAAAAAAAAAAGACTAGAGGTTTTGTATCTCCATGAAATTGGCAGCTTTTTTGATCACAACTACTTGAAAATCGCCAAAACAGTTCAAAAGAAGCCAACACTCTTCTTCGTATATTCTTGAGTCGTCCTGGAAGAAATCTTGGAGATGAAATCACAGCATGTAGTGTAGTTCTTGGCATATAGCAGGTGCTCAATAAATGTTTGTTAGAAGGAGACAGATGCTTTGTAAAACATGCTCTGTGGGGTTCTAGGGAGTGTCTTAGAGCACCGTTTTTCAAACATTAATGTGTAAATCCATCATATTTGGGTTGCATTGTTCTGAGATGGGCTCAGATTCTGCATTCCTAAATTTCTAGCTATGCTGGTTCAGACCACACTTGCAGGTAGCAGTGCTTTAGAAAACAGGCTAAAATCTCAGCTAAGAATCTGTAAGTATAAAAGAATATTTTTTCTTTCATATAATGTAATGGAAACTAAATGATCAGTGGGATTTTTATACTATGCCACAGATAATTTAGGGAAAAATAATTTTAAAGTAAAGGTAATATTTAGGATTTGGTTAGGCAATATTTTCTCACCTGCTGTATTATGAAAGTTCCTAAAGGTTGGGGGCCTACACTAACAGAAGCAGTGGGATAGTAATTACAATGTAATGGAGTGCTAATCATAGGCCAGTCATTCTGCTAGGTGCTAGGAATGCAGGAGAAGTTAAGTGAAAGTTGGCATCTGAGGAACCTCAGCTAGTATATAATTCAGGAGAAAAGAGAGTGAAATATGTGAATTACACATTGCAATGTGAAGTGGAATGAAGGGATAACAGAGACATGTGGAGATGGACAAAGAGGTACACATTTTGATGGGGGTGGGGAGGGCCAAGGGACACACTGAATGCATCAGAAGAGGCATTCAAGCCCAGACTGGAATTCTGAAAAATGTTTCTGCAAGGGGAAACTGGGCAGAGAGTTTTGGCATGAGAAAGGCATGTACCGTGGAGAAAACATCGGCAGCAAAGGTATGCTGTGAGTGGGAGATGGGAAACAGAAAATCCACTAGAGTGGCCGCACAAGGTGGGAAATGGGACTCATTCATTCTCGCTGAACCCACACAAGAGCCCAGTGAGTTCGGCCCTATCACTGTCCCCATTTTAGAAAGGACACTAAAGCTTAGATAGGGCACAGTACTGCCTAAGATCTCATAGCTAGTTAGTGGCAAAGCTGTGACCCCAAGTCTCTTGATCATCATGCCAGTGGCTTCCCACTAGATGTTACCTGTTTGTATTGTAAACCTGGAAGACGCTGTATGACCGAATATGACCAAAGTATATTCAAGAGTTTGAACCTTTTTTTCCCCCTATAGACAAAACAGGCCATTAGAGTTTTTTGAGAAGAGGAGTAAAATGACTCATATTGTACTTTAGGAAGATAAGTCTGCCATAATGAAGAACGGTTGGAGAAAGGTAGTCTTTCAAGGAAATCACTGAACTCAGTTATCTAAGCAAGAAAAAGGTAAGAGAACACGGGGAAGCTCTAGTACACAGAGACTAAATGCATGGACTTTCTTAATTATGGTGCTTGCCTCCCCATCCCCGCTTCTCACCTCCAAGGACCACGAATTTGAGGGCCCGAGTGGACAGTCTGACTAGCTCTGAAATTATTTTTTTTATCACTTGAAAGTCTCATTAAATTGTTCATCTATTTCTTGTTATATACAACCAAACCTATTTCTAGGAGTATATCTACAAATCAGTTTTCTTTTCTGGAAATTTTTCTCTATTACTTGATCAAGGACCCCACTGAATTCCTGAGCAGGTGACCCCCTCTTTCGGAGTCTACATTAGATTTTGGAAGTGCCTGGGAAGGTTCATGATCTTTGGAATCATGTCATAAACGACTAGTGAGGGTCCCAGAGCAAGCACCCCAAAGAGCTTGCCATTTGGCCGGTCTGGTTGGTGGGGCAAGATGGCCTGGATTTTTACCTGATTGAAGACAACCTGAGAACCACGGGGGAAACACACTGATTTAATGACACTGCGACCCCCAAATCCAAGACCCTGTGCTGTCTTATCTCCCAGTCTGTGTGCTAAATGGGAAAGGAACAGATCTCAAAGAGAATCAGAATCCAGGCACTTGTTTGGTCGGGGACATTGCCTAGAGGAGAATGAGGCAATAGGATGCTTTAAGTCCCACAGTCACAATTTTTTCCTCCTGGCTGGAGGGTGTGGGAGGGTGAAGGACTGAAATGAGGAGCCAGGTAAGTACAAGATCCGAATATAGGCTTTGTTTTGTGTCTCACGTCAGCTGAATTTATCCCTAGTCATTCCCGACCTTCTTTCCCCAATTCAAGCCAGAAAATTACGCGATAAGGATCTGAGTAGGATGGAGAAATGTCACCAACATGGGTGGTGCTGGGGACATGATGGAAGCAATTA